CAAGTCTACTGGAGCCTGCGAGTGCTGATGAGGAGTGCCGTCATGTGCCTGTCCTCTGGGTGAACTGGGAGCTGCAAAAATACCTCAACAAAGGCTGAGTATACCGCCGAAGCCCGTGTCGTCGACCCTGTGCATCGAAAGCTTTTGTTTCACAGTAATTTTGTTCAGGGGCTTGAAGCTTCTGTTTCACAGTAATTTTGTTCAGGGGCTTGAAGCTTCTGTTTCACAGTAATTTTGTTGATGGGTTTGACGTCGACGCACACGCGCCGCCTGTTATCCTTTTTTTTTGTGAGCACGGGATTGTGTTCAGAGCCGGTAGTATATGGCTGACATTTGCCTTTGCCGTTTTCTATAAGTTCTTCTGCATGCAACTCAATTCCCTCTTGGGCTCCAAACAAGTATCATCCCCAGACCCGCTTTCTTCCTTTTCGGTTAAGACTCTTGACGTGGCCTTTACCCTTTCTCTGCAAACCTAAACCCTAAACCCTAAACCCTAAACCCTAAACCCTAAACCCTAAAACCCTAAACCCTAAATCCTCTCTGAACCTACTCCATCATCTCAGCCACTACCACTCCTTCACCGCCCCTTTCCCTCTCCGTACCCCAGGGGGTTACTGATCCCCTGCCTACGGCGGGAAGCCCCGCTGTAAACTAACTATAGAGTAGCTCCGTGCCTACCAGAGGGCTTTGGTTCACCAAGAACTAGTATTTCTCAGTGCATCTCTCTATAGACAGCTTCGCTTACTTACGTTTTCTCAGTTGCTTGCTGCCTTGTATAGCTCTGCATAAACCTGCCACGCAGCACATCCAGGAAGCCCTGCATGGAGCTGGTGTGCTCCGGGAGCATATAGCCTTTGCTTGAGTGTAGCCGCCATCGCCATGCACCTCTTTCTAGTAAGGAGGAGGCCAGCAGTAACTGAAATTCTTCTGCGGCGTTTTGTAGGCGAGGGTTAAGTGTGTGTCTACGCAACTAAGAACTCCTCTACTGCCTCTGCATCACGGCACCCACCGTAGCGCGTAGGACAGCACAACCGTTTAGGGTTTAGGGTTTAGGGTTTAGGGTTTAGGGTCAGCACAACCGAAGGCATTTCTCTTGAATTTTTTTTTTGCGGGAATGCATTTTCCCCGGGATCGGATGCTGAAATATAATTTTTTTTTTTGCTGGGGTTACAGACTGTGCGTCACCCCCCCCCACTGTGAGCGGCGCATATTCAGCCTCCGAGCTGCTGAAGAGAACAACTAAACTTGGGGGATATTTTGTCTAGGAAAGGAGATGGGTTTTATTTTAATATAAACAGATGGATAAAGTAAATTTTATTTATTTTGTTTTCTGCTTTTTCAGCAGTGCTTGATTTCACCCGTGGGGGGATTGGGCCTGTGCCCGCACCTGCCCGGATGAACCATGCGGTGCTACCAAGTATAAAACTTGTTCTCTGGCCTTTATCTAGGACAGAGGCGAGCTGCAATGTAGGTAAAGAGCTAGAAGCAAGAGTTTCACAGGAGCAGCCGACCTCCTCCCCCTGTCTTTAGGCATCCCGGGCGTTGAGCTCAGGGCCTGGGTGATGCGGGGAGGAGGCAGCGAGAACTGGGGTTGCAGCGCACCTGGCTGCGGCTGGTAACACAAGCCAGCCCCACGCATGCATGCATGCAGGCTTCAGCGAAGCTTCGTTCGCTGCAAGGGTTTACACGCAAGCTATCAGGCTCCTGCGCTAACTCATGCTACGAGAACCAAGCCAAAAGAGCATCCAAATCGAAGAAAGATGCAAATATATTTATATTTATTAACAGACAAACAATATAAACTACAACAGTAGATAGGCAGGAGTTGTGTTGTGCTCGCATTAGATAAGCAAGCAAAGGTGCTATAAACACCCTAAAGAGACTTGGATAGCTCGATGCCACCACTGAGATTACTATATATATATATATATA